ACGATTCTTTTGTATCATTCTCAATTGGATTGGTTACTCGGTTCCATGTGCTATCTGCTTTGGCTTTGACTACTTGGACTTCAGTGTGATTTTGCATTCTGGATTTTTGTGCTTCGTCCATACTCATGTTCCTTGCACACATGGCGCATTCATTTTTCTGTCTCCCTCTCACTCCTTGTCGGCGGACAGAGAGGGACGCGAAGAAAAACGGTTGTCTGACAGATGCAAGGAATAGGATCGAGGGAGAACCAAAGAACAAAGAAACCATGTTCATTCACAATGAATGAGAATCTGGACGAGATCTCCATCCGAATTCATTGACAATGTATGTAGTGAATAATGCCCCTTTCTATCCTTCATGCGCTGCACCACAGGGTTGTGCGACTGTCACACTGAAGCGCTAAGACGCAAACAGAGAGGGGCAGGAAACAAAAAAAAGGGCTTATGCAGGTCGCCATCTCCTGAACAAATGCGTGGCCAGAATTCCCTCCCTTCAAGATTAGGGCTTCGATGCCCAGAGTTCCATGCCTGGCATTTAAGGGGTCCGACTTCACATTTACAGGGTGGAGAATTCCCCCCTTCGCAATCTACAAACCCATTTCCCGCTGCCTGAATTGGGCCTAAGGGAGACACACACCGAGGCACTGACAGCCAACCCAATAACAACCATCAACTCTAATAATTTTGGACAGCCTCCTGCCCCTCGAGCACTCCCTGCGTCAAGTTTAAGGGTCCCGACTTCACATTCAGAAGGTGGAGAGTTTCCCCCTTCCCAAGCTGCAATTCCATTTCCTTTGCCTGTGAATTGGGCCTAAAGGAGAGACACACACAGCAAGGCACTGACAGCGAACCCAATCACAACCATCAAATCTAAACAATTTTGGACCGTCTCCTGCCCCTTGAGCGCTCTCGACTGAAGAGGATGGACCAAGTGACTCGTGACCATAATAACGAGAGCACCCGGCTCCACTTTATGCTACACCTCAGACAGCATTGTAGGTTGGAAGGTGTCGGTTCCGAAAAGTCCTAGGTCGGTGGAAGTCCGTCCGAAGAGTCCAGTCTAGGCCGACAGTCCCAAGTCCAATTTGCAGCATGTCCCAGGAAAGTCCAGAGGGTACCGGACCAACAAAATGTTTGCAAGAGACAGGCCGCGGCCGACCGGTACCAGTCTGAAGCAGGCCAGGCCAGGCCAAGTCCTATATTTATCTGCTACAGTGCAGCGGCTCAGCACTTGTTCCTTTGCGAGATGCGGAAGCGCTGCTGCTGCGCGTGCATCAAGGCAACTTGGGCACTGTGCGCCTGAAGAAGAAGAGGGCAATTGTGAGATACTCCATAGCTAGGCTAGAGGTAGCGCAGGAGGTGGGCGGCCATAGCCACCAAGGTGGAGCTTACCTGAGTGCGTGCATCCAGGGTAACAATCTAGGTTAGCGAGAGAGGGAGTGAGGTAGAGCAAGCCAAGTCAGAGAGAGAAGCAAGACAAAGAGAGACAGAGAAAGAGGAGAGACAAGCCATAGCTGCCACCTGATTGAGATCCGTTGTGTGTGCGTGTGTGCACGGCAGAGCCGCTGAAGACGAACATTCTTGAATATTGATAATAATATTGGAGGCAACATCGAGACGAACATTCTTGAATATTGATAATAATATTGGAGGCAACATCGAGACGAACATTCTTGAATATTGATAATAATATTGGAGGCAACATCTTCAAGTGTCAATCGTATCTCGCTTCTCACATGTGAACTCTCATGTGAATGTTGATCAATGTTTGCGAGGTTGAACTTCCAAGTACTTGGCTGATTTCACTGAAGCCTAAGAATTCTCCATGCTGCAAACATGGAGAAGAAACCAAATTCATGACCTTGCCAATCTGCAAAAATGCACTTCTCCATCCAGAGAGGGCTGTTTTTTTTCAAGGGCATATGACACTGCAAGGAATATAAGCAAGAGCGATATACAGAAAACCAAGTTGTGAAATCACACATGTCCAAGTAGTCATGTGCGAGCAGAGAGTGCAAATGCACCTAGATTCCATCCAGATAAGAGCAATACAATGAACTCATGAGCCAATGTCCAAGCCCTCAGGCCACACCAACACCGTATCCAATGTCGCTCCTACTCCGTCTGGAGCCCAGCGCCCAGCCTACACTACTCGCCTATCCTACTACACCAGCGTTCACGCAACAGGCTCACTTCGACCTTGAAGACCAATGTACATGACGTCAACACCATAGCTGACCTCCCTCATGCACCAGGTATGTATCTCGTCTCTACTCATCACCCCTGACTTCCCACAGTGTGCATTCTCAACACCCAAAGACCACCATCGCCATCCAGACCTGCGCCCAACAGCCCGGCTTTGGCTGCCGTACGCCCACTGCCCAGCAGTGCACCTCACACCTCAGCGCCCGTGTGCGCGACCCAGTCGGCAGCTTCGTGCAGATCACGAAGGTGCAACGCAGCAGCGTGGCCGCATTGCCTGCCTAGGCCAGAATGCCTTGCCCAGCGATGCTCACTTTCCTATATGGAAAGTGAGCTTAGCCTCTGCTGCCTCTGGACCTGGCTGGGCGAGCATCCAGTAGCTTCCAGTCGGGCCTCAATGCCTGCGTCCCGGCCCAGTTGCAGTTACGGGCCTGGGCCCTTTACAGTTGGGCACGTCCAGGCAGTCCACGGACCTCCACATGTTCGCTGTGATCTCATTGGCCCGTGGCTGTTGTATGATGTGTCGGCCTCTGAAGCACACGCCCAGGGCCTTAACTGTACGGGGCCCTCGGCTCAACTGCCCATCGAGGCTGCAACTTCCGGAAAAAGCCTGGAGAGGCTCTCGTTGCTCCGTAACCAACTGGCATGCTGCAACTGTCTGATACCCACATATGGAAAATGTCAAATCTTGGCCTCTTGGTAATATTCAGGCCCGCCTTCACTTAGGGCGGGCACAGGGCTTGCTGCGGGCCTCTGCCCAGCATGTCGGTTAAGGGCCCCGTGAGGGCTCATTCCCCGCACATATACAATCCCTTTAGGGTGATCACACTGGCCTGTACCCAGGCCTTGGCACATATTAGCAGGCCCGACTTCACTTAGGGCGGGCAAGGCCTTTCCCAGCACTGCCGAGGGGTCAACTCCTCGCAACAGCTTCAGAGCCATGACAAACAGCTCTCTCTCTCTCTCTCTCTCTCTCTCTCTCTCTCTCTCTCTTCTCTCTCCATTTCACTTCAGATCCGTGATTGTTTGCTTTATCCCATTCTGGTTCCTTCTTCCATTCCATTTCAGATCCGTGATGGCTGTATTTGGGTCAAACTTTCACTCTAGATCAGTGACAATGACGGTAAGTTCTGTTCAGGTGAAGACGGTAGTTAAGATATTTTTTTTAGGTTGACGTTCGTTAACGAGGTGATGATCCTACTGCATTCACTCCAATGAGAGAGAAGTATCCATACCTTGGAGATATGAACTCCCAAGCTTCTGTGAATCCCAGAGCATTGGATGCATACAAAAATACCCAAATTGACACTCGCCCATCTTGGAGCCCTGCAGAAACCAAAAAGTCCAACCCCAACCACCCCCCAGCACACCCAGTCGACGGCATTACCACCCGTAATTCCACCACCGCAGCCAAGACCCCCATCACAGAGAAGAACACGACCCCACAGTAAACCGCCATCATCCCAAATAAACAAAAAAACTGCTGTCGTTTTTTTTTTTCTTTTCACTGACTCTCTTGTGCATAAGAGCTTTTTGGTTTAAGCTTCCAGGACAAGGGGGTCAAACAGGCATCATCCAATCTCAGGGACCCATCTAAAGGTATTCCTAAGACCTGCCATCTGTATGGGCCCAACTCCCAGGTGTAATAGCCATGCGCCCCCCCCTCCCCCCGGTCATGACATCTGCATGGCTCAAGTCCAGGGGTATAATACCTATGGTGCTCCTGGCACCAGATCTGCATCCGTCGGTTCCAGTGGTAAAATACTTACGGCCCTCCCGGCACCATTCACATGGGCCATTCTAGGGTATAACACTTACGGCGCACCTAGCACCAGATCGGCATGGGTAAATTCCAGGGGGAAAATACTTATGGCCGCCCTGGCACCATCTGCATTGGGTCAGTTCCAAGGGTATAATACCTATGGCAATTCTGCCGCCATCTGCAAGTTCCAGAGGAGAAGGGGGGGGGGGGGGGTGGGGGGGGGGGGGGGGGGAGAGGACGTAAAATACTTATGGTTTTCCAAGACATTGCAGATGAGTTGGTTCAACCACAGCAAAATTGGGGGCGTGTTCCCAGGATAACTCGTGGTTATTTGTGAGGTTCCGGCCTCTCATTTTTTCAGAATTGAATATAACGAGGATGGTTTACAGCCCTTGTGGCACCATATGAGAGGCCATCCTATCTCGAGGTGAGGGTGTTGTGAAAACAACTTTGGATGGGCGATAGTCTGCTTCATCAGCAGATTACTACAGCTTTCGAAGCATTGATATGCCGAGGTCAAACCAACACACAAACGCTTCTAAATCAGTCGTGGTACTTATGTACCCTTGCAATGATGCATATGTTGCTGTGTCAAACTTGCACGACAGAGAACAAGCAACACAAAAGCCAATTCCTGACTCGCACATACTCTACCTGGGTTGTTTCCGCACATTTGCAATCCCTCGCTAAGCTTCATGGGTGAATCTAAGAAAGCTTTGCCTGGGTTGTTTCCGCACATTTGCAATCCCTCGCTAAAGCTTTATGGGTGAATCTAAGAAAGTTTTTTTGTGGGTGAGTCTAAGAAAAGAAGTGTCACGGTGACGGGGGACAATTGCTTGAGCCCGCTTGCGTTTTGAGGATTTTGCTCAGCTACTTAGTTCTAAGCCTTTTCCTTCCCAACAGCAACTCGCTCGCTCGCTCCAACTCATCGGTGAGAAACCTCTTCATACCCAGCCCACGTGGCTGATGGTACACCCCTCAGCTGTTGATAAATAGACCCGAGCTCGAATACACATGGAAACGGAGAAGCACCCGGGACCGGTCAGTCCTATGATGATATTTCAAGCCCATCCACCTTTTAAATACCAAGCGGTTACCCACTGCAGCTTCGCTTGCGGCATAGCGGAAACGTGCTGGGACACTTCCTCCCTGCAGCACAACTTTTCTGGGTTGGGCAGTACCATGTGGAGAAGATGGTATACCTTGCAGCACACATCATACTATGGGGCCTGGATGGCAGTAACACACACACACACACACACACACACACACACACACACACACACATGGGGCCTGGATGGCAGTAACACACACACACACATGGGGCCTGG